GATTATAATGTCTGTCTGTGCCTGGGTGCTCTCTTCACTTCACCTGATGAAGGGGCAGCACTTCGAAAGTTTGTGATTTCAAATAAACCTGTTGGACTATAACCTGGTGTTGTGAGATTTCTGACCTTGTCCACCCGCAGTCCAACACCGGCACCTCCACGTCTCCAGCAATGAATGTGAGGAGCCTTCAGGCTCTTTGTTAAGAATGAGTCCAACCATTCTTTTCTTCTGGCACAACCCTCTCTCCCCAAACCTAAACATCCGTTAAAGTTACCTCCTGCCCTACCCCTGAACTCACATCTTTTGTTAGTTTCGAACGATTCTTCCCTCTCACTGTGTCTGAGCCCATCTTTTCAGTAATTCCGGCCTCCTGTTCCCTTGACCCTATTTGCTCTGACTCCTGGTCCCCATATTAGTAACTAGTCCTCTCTCCAGGTATTCTCCCTCTCTCTCACCTTTAAATCTGCTATTGTCACCTCTCTCTTCAAAACACCAACCCTGACACCATCATGTCTTGTTTCAAACCTTCTGTTCTTCTGTAAATCTGTCCCCCTCTTTCCTGGAGCTCTGTTTGAATTCATTGAATCTGGATTTCTGCCTCTGATCCAGACTGAAGCATCTCACAACATGACCACAAGGGGGCAGCTTGTACTGTCAATTCTACCCCGCCACAAGCAACCCCCCCCCCCCGCCCCCCCCTCCCCTCCGCCCATTTCCCCCCCCCCACACCCCCCCCCCCCCCACCCCCCCTTTCTGGACTGTCAGTCACACCATCCTGCTCCACACCCCCTCCCCCCCCAACCCCACCACTGTCGCCCACTGCTGTCAGGACCAAGGCTGGAAGCCTCTCTCTCTCCCCACACCTGTCTCTCCACTGACTTTTCTCACTGAGACTTTCCTTAAGAGATCTCTCTTTGGCCAGTATTTGGTCGTCTCACATCTCCTTATTGGCCTGGGATCATTTTTATAAATCTCCTGTGAAGCTCCCCGGGATGTTTTAGTTCATTAAATTTAATATTTAAATATAATTTATCCTATTGTCTTCACTAGAGAGCACTTGCCAATGGAGAAGTTCAGGAGGAGGCAAAGCCAAGACTAAAAGGAGGAAGTAGGTAAAGGATTGGCAGATCTGACAGTCAGAGAAGCACCCTGTTTGGATCCCAGATTTTTGAGGGAAGTTAGGGTGAGAAGTATGAAGGCTTTAGCTCTAATCATTCCAGCCTCCTTGGATATGGAATGGCGTCAAAGGCTGCAAACTCCTGTTCAAAAAATGTGGAGAGGGATAAAAATGATAATTCTTGACCAGACAGCTCAACAGAGGAGAATATTTTAGGAGTAATAATCTGTGACAAAATTTAATCCTGATAAGTGTGAGGCAATGCACTTTGGAAGAAGTAACAAGACAAAGATATATTCAATGAATGACAGGTCACTAGGAAGCTCAGAGGAATAGAGGGATCTTGTGGGGGCTTGGCCACAGATCCCTCAAGGTGGCAGGGCAGGTTATGAAGGTAGTTAACAGGCATACGGGACACGACTTTATCAGTCGTAGCAAAGATTGTAAGAGCAGGGAGGTCATATTGGAGCTGTACAGGACTTTGATAGGTCCACAGCTGGAGTACTGTGTAGTTCTGGTCATCTCACTACAGGAAAGATGTGATTGGACTGGAGGAGTACAGAGAAGGTTCACTGAGATGTTACCTGGGATGGAACAGGTTAGCTATGAAGAGGGACTGGATAAGCTCAGGTTGTTTTCTTTAGAGCAGAGAAGGTTGACTGGGGACCTGATAGAGCTGTAAAGGATTATAAGGGTCATGGACAGGGTGAATAGAAACCAGATGTTCCCCTTAGTTGAAGGGTCAAAAACAAGGGGGTGAAAGGCAGGAGGTTTACAGGGAATTTTTCACCCAGGGGTGGTGGGGTTTGGAATGCACTGACTGGGAGGGGAGTTCATGTGGGAATCCTCACAACCTTTAAAATGAGCACCTGAAATGTCAAAACATTCAAGGCAATGGGCCAAGTGCTGGAAAGTGGGACGAGTGGTTCTATAATTCCATAGTGTAGATTTAGAACCGTTTCTGTTAGCACATACTCGATGGGCTGAAGGGTCTCTTCTGTAGTTTATTCACTGAAATTTGGAAAAGTATAACTAATAAGGATAAATAATTTGTTTCATGCAAATCATGTTGAACAAATGTCTTAGCCCTCTCGGTTAATGCGATATTGTGTAGCTGGACTTTGTAAAGGTGATCGATAAAGGAGCACAATCCCGGGGTCAGTGTGGGGCTGAAGGGACATGATCACAGAGCTGGGTGTGGGCTGTTTGCAGGGAAGGAGGCAGCAGGATCACAACTTTGGAGGAGCTCTCCCCACAGGATGAGGCCGGGGGAAGGGGGTAGGGGGATGTCTGTGAGCAGGAGTACGTGCCCCGGGGGAGACCCCACGCCGGGAAGCGGCTCCATTGCAGCGGCCGCGAGGAGACAATGTTCCCGGAGCCGCGGCCGGGGACACTCCGAGAGTCTGCACCGGGAGCCGGACATACGCAGCCGCTTTAGAGGCGGGTCCCCGAGGGCCCGGGGATAGCAGCGGGGGACACGCCGTTCGGCCCCTCTCTGTGCCCCTGTCCCCTATTCCCGGGGCCGCGGGCTCAGGCTTTCTCTCTCCTACCTTCAGAGCGACTGAGTCCGCATTCTACACCGGCCCGGGGCCCGGAGCGTCTCACTGCAGCGACTGACGCAGCACCACCCCCACCCCC